AATCAACAGCGAAGGAGACATATGGGTAACAGCTTGTTGATTTCTAACCAACAATAACAACTGTTGAAGCAAAGGAAAGGTGGTATTTTCACCCACACTCTCACTGATCTGAAATTCTTGATTTGCTCTCTCCCTGTCTAATGCCCCTCTCTGCACTTCAGACCCCAGCCACCTCTGCAAACACATTCCTTTCTCACGAGGCTCAAATGAACAAGCCTGTTCTTTGAAACACAAAGAGAAAAATGTTCTTGGAGGATAAGGGGAAGTTCACATGGTCATAAGGGAGTGGGCCGATCATGAACCTGTGAAATCAACAGATAATTCTGAAGCCACACTTTAACTTTTACTTCAACTGCCACACTCTCCAGCATTTAGAGGAGTTGGTCATGAGTAGCAAAGTGGTTGATTTGACTTTCCTTTTCCTGTATTTTTTAAATGAGATGGCTAAAAGATCACCCAAAGTCCAGGGAAACACAATAAAGGGCTTTCTCCTATACCAACTAGATGGGTGACACTGCTGTTCAAAATCCTAGGATTGAGAGGTCAAACAACTAAAGCTTGCCTCTCAACTGCTCAGAGCCATGAGGTTTAATGCAAGATGTGAGCCTCTCAGCGGCAAAAGTTTCTTAACTTTAAGTGCAGATAAATAATACCTACCTCCTGGTGTTATTGGGAGGCTTAAAGTCATATGTGTAAAACATCTGATATAGATCCAAGTACACAGTAGGCATTAAATAAATGGCAGCTATCATCATCATCATATCATCACTGTCATCATCACTGATAATCATCCGAACAAGGCAACTTACCAATTATCACTGCCATTCATCACCAAAACATTTAGAAAGACCCCAGAGAAAATAAATGGCTCAATGAATGAGTACATGCCATAAGTCAAATATGTGGTGTCATCTTACAAGGCAAGAATAACTGGAAATTAGTTTGTTAAAATTATTTGAATACCTATTAACTGCAAAGAGGAATGAGGAAAACTTTGGGGATCGTAGCAATGCTCTAAAATTGCATCATGGTTGCAAAACTCTATAAATTTAATAAAATCACTGATTGACATATTTATGAGTGGATTTTATGGTATGTTAATTTTACCTCAATAAACATGCTAAAAGTATTCCTCATGGACAAGAGCTGAAGGGGGATTACCTTGCATACAATGTAGAAAGACAAAAAAGAACAAAAATATGAAAGGTAGGTTAAGATACATGGATGATGGAATGAGATGCTCTAAGATACATTGAACTGGAATCCCAGGAGAAGAGAAGCAGGATGGGCAGACACAACTTAAAAAGAGCTGAGAATTTCCCAGTATTGATGAAAGACAGCAGGTCACCTGCTACAGGGCCGAGGGTTTTGAGATTTTTCTATTTTGGGTTGTTGTCTCACCAAATTTGTATGATGAAGTCATAACTGTGACTTTTTTTGGAAATAAGGTCATTGCAGACGTAATTAAAGATGTCATACTGGAATAGAGTGGGCTTCTAATCCAATATGACAGGTGTTCTTACATAAAAAGAGAGAATTTGGACATAGATACACACACTGAGGAAGAGCACCATGGGAAGAAGGCAGAGATCTATAAGCCAAAGAACGCCATAGATTACCAGAAAACCACCGGCAGGCCTAACACAATGACATCCTCTCCTTTACAAAAATGAACTCGAAGGAAGGCTGCCCAGTTGGTCCCAAGACCTCTCCTGGGGCCCTTTCCCCATGGAGACGCTGGCCTGACGCCCCTCTCCCAGGGTCCAGCCCGGGGTAGGGGAGGCCTCCTTAGTCTTCAGCTTCTGCACTTCCAGCCCGGGGACTTCTCCTTGGTACCTTCAACGCCTTCCCCACCTTCTGAAAAAGGAAGAGCACTTCTGCTACTTTCCCTTCCTCTCCGCCCTTCCCCACACGCCCAGGTCCCCCTTTACTTCTCCTTCCACAAAGCAGCTGTGCAGTCACGGTCGCGCTGCCCAAAGAACTTTCCTAGTTCCCCTTTCCCTGTCCCCGAAGCCTCAGCCCTTCTGTGCAGTAAAGCTGCCTTTCTAGGTCCCACCTGGGGGGAAAGCTGTGCTTTTCTATTTCCTGTCTTTTCTGGACCCATTTCCTCCCAGATGGCTTTCCCTTACTCCATACTGATGGAATGTTTAATTATTCATTCCAAGTGTATTAATTAACCACGCGTGAAGCACTGAGGAGCGTCTGAGATGAACACCTGTGCCTCAAGAAAATTGAAATGTGGCAATCACTTTAAGGTGGCAGGTAAGTTTGTTCTTAGACTAACTCCCGTTGATTTGCCTGGGCTTCCTGGAGGTTTAGACCTCTATGGCATCTTGGGCCCATGGGCAGAGTGCTCTGGGAGATGAGCGATGTCTGCATGGACAAAGGGGTGGAGATGCCAGCATGGGGAGACCAGATATTTGCCATCACTGAGGTACAGATCTGGATTCAGATTCTGGCTCCATGTATTACCAAGCGAACTTGAGCAAGTTTTAACCTCTTATAACCTCGGAGCAATTTAACCTCCGAGTTTCTGGTTAATTAAATATTTTAACAAGTAATAAAACGAATGACTCTTAGGACATATAGGTGATGATTGATTTTTAAGTCTGGATATAGTGGGGTGGGGAAAAGACTAAAACCCAAATAAGTACAGTACAAGGCAGAACAGATTGTAAGAGCAGTAAGAAGTTCGGAGTGCATGACAACTCAGGCAACTTCCAGTGGTCTAGAAAGGTGGGGGCTGTTGGGAGAGAACAGACACTGTGAAGCCCAAGGAGGGAATCAGAAGAGCAGAAAAGAGCCCAGAAAGAAGGCTGGGATCAGAACACAGAGCCCTAAGTTCCTAGCTAAATGTTGATATTTTAATAAGATAGACTCTGTATAAGAGAGTCAAGTTTCATGGCAAACTAGTACAATACTGTTTGCACTTAAGAGAAAAATCCAAACAAATTTTCAAGTGCGTAATCCTTTAAAAAAAAAAAAAGTCCTCACCGGAGAATATGCATTTTGGTTTTAGAGAGGGGAAGGGAGACCCACAACCTAGGAATGTGTCCTGACCAGGAACTGAACTCGCAACCTTCCGATATACAGGATGACGCTCCACCCAACTGAGCCACACGGGCAGGGCGACTGGATAATTCTTTATAGGGTAACAAACTGAGCTATGCTGGAACAGAAGCATCTACTTCCTTCCTAATACGACTAATTAGCTATGACAGAAGTTAGCATTTTTGAGCACTATTTATGTATTAAGTGTACCAACAAGGCAGCCTTGACAGCTTCACATTAGTACATCAAAGTAGATACTGCTATTATGAGAACTAAGACTTCAAGAGCTAATCTGCCCAGCATCACACAGCAACAAGTGGTAGGGACAGGGCTGGCAAAAAGATCTGAAGCCACTTTTAGCCAAGATACTAAGCACTCGATACTACACTTTGCTATTAAAAGCTGGGCCAGGGAGGGAGGGACATAGCTATAGACTAGTAATACAGGGGCTGTTGATTGCTTTTAACTCAATATTTCACACATGAAGTCCAAATGACATTGAAGACATTCAGAAATGACTGGTTTTGGGGTCAATTAGCATTCATTCCTGTCTAAAATAATGAAAACCACCTGACTGAACTGTGGGTCAGTTTTTCAGGAATTACTGACATGTTCCTGCCCATACAATTCCCTCCCTTGAAATGATTCCTCTTCATTACAGGTCACCTTTCATCCTTCCCTTTCCCTTCAGGAGACACTTCTGCAGGGGTAGATGCCACGTCAATAAAGGAAACTGAGACTGACAGTGTTCGGTGTGCCTAACATATTCTTAATAGGATTACGTGGCTCAGGATGGTTCTGTTTCAAGCTGGAAGGGTTCACCGGCTCTATGCAGGACCCGCTGGTCTGGACAGTACCTCCTGACCATCAAGGATGCTCCAGCTCTAAGACAGCACTGAACCAACAGGCACGAGCACCTCCCTGCAAACGAGTGACAGAACTTAACTCAGGACTGAGAGGTGGAGCAGGAGCATCTCAAGATGAACTGACCTTTCTACAAAACCCAGGCCAACAAGAANGGTTTTGGGGTCAATTAGCATTCATTCCTGTCTAAAATAATGAAAACCACCTGACTGAACTGTGGGTCAGTTTTTCAGGAATTACTGACATGTTCCTGCCCATACAATTCCCTCCCTTGAAATGATTCCTCTTCATTACAGGTCACCTTTCATCCTTCCCTTTCCCTTCAGGAGACACTTCTGCAGGGGTAGATGCCACGTCAATAAAGGAAACTGAGACTGACAGTGTTCGGTGTGCCTAACATATTCTTAATAGGATTACGTGGCTCAGGATGGTTCTGTTTCAAGCTGGAAGGGTTCACCGGCTCTATGCAGGACCCGCTGGTCTGGACAGTACCTCCTGACCATCAAGGATGCTCCAGCTCTAAGACAGCACTGAACCAACAGGCACGAGCACCTCCCTGCAAACGAGTGACAGAACTTAACTCAGGACTGAGAGGTGGAGCAGGAGCATCTCAAGATGAACTGACCTTTCTTCAAAACCCAGGCCAACAAGAACACAAACCACCCTCTTGGGAGACTCCTCATGTCAACCTTGCAGATTACTTTACTGTTAGTGTTACTTGTTAGTCTCTTTTAGGAGGAAACGTGGTTATGAGAGATAGAATCACATAAAACTGATATTTCACCATTATTTTGCCCACAAAAATGGTCATTCATGAGTCAATCATAGTAATGTGCAGAATTCTCCAAATGTTTTCTGTATTTATTTTTCAATGTAAATGGAGACCACAAATTTTAAGAATAAGATAAGAAAACATAGCATGTACCAAATTCTTAGTAACTGTCTGTTGAATTTTCAAGTCTGTGAACGCTAGTGATCCGAGTCTAGCATGGATCTTGTGCACAGTAGCCACAAACCTTCCTAATATCAAGGTGAGTGTACCTTACCACTTTAATTTCAGCTTGAAATAATAAAAAAAGATTCACTTGATTTATATATTTACATTTTTATTAGAATTCTTCAGAACTGTCAACAATTGGACAACATATCAGGAAAAAAACACATGGAACACCAACATCCTTTAAACCTGCACTGCTTCCATATTTACACATAAAGTTACTGTATATATAAAAAATATTTTCAAGGACTCACGGGCTTGGGGATATTCAAAAGACATTATTGCTACATTTCAATATTTACAAAAAAAGCCACAAAATAATTTCAAACATTAAGCCACTGCAAAGAAATACCTGATGTAAAAACAAAAAATTATAAAAATATAAACTTTCAAGAATATCCAAGACAAAACTCTCAGTGAAGTGCCCCTGAAGTACCTAGACATCTACAGTTAACAACCACTTTTCTTACTCTAATCAAAGTCAACAGAAATGCAAAGGAAAATTTCAAAGTATGGCAAACAGCGACAATCTCTTACGTTGACAACAAAACCCCAAAACCTGTTACCTTTGGAAAGGTGCGAGAGCGTAGAACTCCAGTGCAAATGGTTACTTCCAGATAAATGGCCACAGTTCTCTAAATGACACCTAAGGGACCTAGGCGGGGGAAGCCGTGAAGGCAGCATAGCTGGAATCTTGCAAGACAACACACAAACCCTGCCATGTACCACACGGACCTCTTGTAGCTGGGCAGCAATGAAAAAGGCAGACTCTAAGAATAATATCCAGGCTACAACCTGAAGGGTAAAATTTAAATACGTTTCAGTGGGAGAGTAGCATTAAGAAGATCTAAGGGACAAGTACAGTATGCTGAGTATAAATAATGGAGTGCCTTAAGTGACGGTGGGCTGACATAAATAGGTACTTAAGCGCTCGGCCTCCTATATGCCTCTATGCAAGCTTTTGGTCAGCTTTTCGGGGCGGCCAGGTGAAGGGAATGAAGAGCAGCACGGACGACGAAAGCCAAGCGAGTTCTTGGGTACTGAAGGACCGTCTTGGGCTCAGGGCAAGAACACCCCCCAAAAGATGTGTCTACAAGCACATGTGCGTGCGCACACATACAGTATATAGGTACTGGCCTGGCGTCCAGGACATGTCTGCAAAGAGGCTGAATCTAAATTTCTAAATTTTCTTTCCTGCTACAGAAGCATCCAAACTAAGACAGCACTGTTTTCTCACTCCTACTGGAGTCATGCAGTAAATCGTTTTCAAATGGCATCGAATCTATTGAGCACAATGCCATTCTGAAGCTATAGGCTTGTTCTGGAGAATCTATACAGCAAGTTCATCGGCTACAAAAGGAGATTTTTGTTAAGATTGTGCTTGACAATTACGTTTATTCTTTAAAAAAAACCAAAAACCACAGCACTGTGTCCGTCAAACTTGCCTGGCTCTCTATTCCTACATACAGCAGACCTGACTGAGCCAGAGTTGTCTCCAGAAATGACACCTTGTGGGTTTTCCTCCCTCAGGCATATGAACATGTACAATTGCAGGATGAATATATACAAACGCGGAAGGGGAGGCCTCTCTCCGGCGCGGCTCCCTAACGGCAAAGCCCGCTGAGAAAGCAGGTCAGTAGCGCAAAGGCTCACGCTCAGCAGCAAGCCTTCATTCAGGCTCAGGGAGCGTTTTCATGGCCTACGTCTCATTCCCAGCACAAAATAGTAGATTTCTTAAGCCCAGATATTCATCGACTTCTGACCTTTGTCCCAATAATGTTCTACTTTCCACATCAAGGGCTTAGGTCCCAGCTTCTAATCTTGCGGAGCCATCATGTCATTACGGACAGTTACGAGCGCCGAAGGTGACTACTGCCATTTATTCAAATAAGCTATCAACCATCCTTTCCGAACAGAAATGAGACAAGGCTCAGAAAGGACCCAAGGTGTCTCAAGGCCATCCACCCGCCCTTTCTCCAACTCAGAACTGTCTTTGTTACCGGGAGCTACTGTGCTATTGGGAGTATATGCAGTTTGAACCCTGGCCTGGCAAGGGGATGGGGGCTGATGACAAAAATCACCGGCCATGAAAGTGTGCTCATAAAGACGGGATTACAGAGGGGTGTCCATTATCCGGGAGCAGGATGCAAGTCGAACAGAACAGTCATAGGACCCAGAGGAACGGGGACCTCTGCGTTGGGGAGATCCCAGACATGCGGTCCACTTCAGGCGTCCTCGTGGACAAGCAGAGGCTGGGTGGACGAAGTGCTGCTGCCCACGGAGTTGATCCGCACCGAGTGGTCCACCACGATGTTCTCTTGGTTGGGGCTCCAGTTGGCTAAGTTGGAATAAATCTGAGGAAAACAAGTCCACAGTCAATACACTAATCCCCACATCAAACACTGTGATGAAGGGGCATCAGAGTCGCAAAGAACTGAGGAAGACTCTTAAACAGAGAGAGTTTAAAGACTTTTGCAACCCAAAACTAAATCATATTGACAAAAGGAAATGCCAGTTTGTTTACCCCGCCTTTTCCCCAAGGCCTGATGATGTAGGAAGGGATGGCAAAAAATGTGCTTTTCTGCTGGGATACTTCTAGAACAGGCACTACCTAACCTATTTAAAAGGTTAACAAATCTAGACAGCTAACTATAACCCAACAACCGATATAATTTACTGAGAAGTCAGTGGCCCTTCCATGGGTCTTCCATTGAGAATCAAGCACATGGGTGGAAAATGCCGTTTAATTTGAAATACGCTTTGACACCCAGAAGAACAAGCTTTAACCCCAAAATACCAGTGGTGTATGCTTAGAAAAGGCAAGATAGCTCCAAGCACACAATCCAGAAAAAAAGCAATGTAAAAAATCTGAGTCAAAGTAAGGATCAATACCTTACTTAAAAGAAGAAATAATAGACTCGGGCTTTGAATTCCTCCCTCCCCAGATCACTGGGAGAGATCTCCCAACTTCAAACAACTCTTCATTCTGTACGGCTTGTGGGCATGACAGCTCGCTGCCATTTTCTGGTCATGCTTGTTTGAGCAGAAGGTTATTCCACTGTGGTAACAAGCTGTCTTTTCTATGCTTTTATTCTAGTTCACACCACCCAACCCTCCAAAGGCTGAATGGCCTTGGCACATGAAAGAGAGCCCATGCAGACTCCATGACCAGCATT